AATTAAATTATAAATAAATACTATTATGAATTATTCAATTATCCAGTCGGCTCGGGAAAAATTAAATAAATTTGAAAATGACTACCAAGAATTAGTAAAAAAAGTCAATCTTTCCCTTTTCACTTTAGCCAAGACGAATCTTAATGCGGAGGAGAAAAGAAAGGTGTGGAACGGAATGGCTGAGTACACCAAGAATGTCATTAGAAAGGTGGAAGAGGTCTTGGAGAGGTTAGAAGTGGTGCGTTTTTCCGGAAGTGAAGTGGTTCTTTATGAGGAAAAAGATAATCTGATTCAGAAGTATCATTTGTTGGTAAAAAAATTGCGCGAGGAAAAAGAAACTATTTCGCGGCAGATGGAAAAAAAAATAATGATTGTGACTCCTCTTCGTCAAAAGACAGTCAAGAGCGGTTATTGTTATTTTTGTGATACCAGTTATGAGACTGACTTTCCTTATAAATTAAAGGTCGAAGAGCAAAATACGTTGGGGATTGTGATTCCTGAAGGAGCAGCTTTTTGTTCTCAAGAGTGCTTGTTAAATCACTGTAAGGAATATAAAAATCGCGAAAAACTGCGCCAGGCGGAAGAAAAAAGAAATAAAGAAAAAATTGCTCAAGACAAAAAAATGGTTACTGAAATTCAAGGACGAATGGCCGATTTGACCGAAAGAATAAACAGGTTAGAAAGAAGAGAGTGAGAGTTAGAATTATCGCCAGAAAGCGACCAAACAGAAAAGCTCGAAAGTGCCGGTTTCTTTCGCCGCCTTGGTCAAAAATTAGGCTTAGCCAAGAAGCCTCATCCTCTTTCTAAATTAGAAAGAGTAAGAAAATTAAAAGGGGAATTGAATATTCAGTTGGAGAAAACCGGTGAAGAGTTGCAAAAATCTTTAGTAATTCTTTCCCTAGACGAACAAAAGGAAGAAGAAAGAAAAAGATTAGAAAAAAAAATTATTTTGGAAAAAGGAAGAATTGCGTTCAAAGAGAAAGAGGAGGAAACATATGAATAAGAATTGAAGGAGCCACAAGCAGCAATTAAAATAAAAAATATATATGACACGCAAAGCCTTGGTTATTAAAGCTCGTAAAACTCCGAAATATTCTAGTAGAAAATATACTCGTTGTCGAATCTGTGGTCGTTCGGGGTCAGTTTTTAGGGATACCCTGCTTTGTCGTATCGATTTTCGCAAGCAAATTTATGAAGGTCTGTTGCCAGGCTGACGAAAAGGTTCTTGGTAAAATAATATTAATATGACACTATCCGACCCAGTCGCTAATATGCTGACAGTTATCCGCAATGCCAACCTGCGGGGTTATAAAACAGTTGTTTTTCCCTACTCTTCTTTTAAATGGCAAATCTGTAAAAAGTTAGAAGAAAGTAACTTTCTTTCGAAATGTTGATTTGACGAAAAAAAATGGGAAAATCAAGGCTGATATTAAATACAGCAATCAAGATAGCCGTATCCACCAAGTAAAAAAAATTTCTAAGCCTTCGCAACATATTCATTTAAGAGTTGAAGAAATAAAAAAACATTGTCGTGGTCGTGGTGTTTATTTTATTTCTACTCCTGCTGGATTATTAACTCATCGCGAAGCCTTGGAAAAAAAACAAGGAGGAAAAGTTATCTTTTTTATTAGTTAAATTATGTCAAAAATCGCTAACCGAATTATTTCAATACCAGAAAGGGTAAAAATTAATTTAGAGGGGGGGATAATTTCTGCCGAAGGGCCATTAGGAAAAAGTGAAGATTTAATCATTCCTTCTAACTTGGAAATTACTAATCAAGAAAATAAGTTAAGCACTAAGTCAGTTAACTCGGCTTTGGCTGGTACTTATAATTCTTTAATTTCTAATCTGATAAAGGGGGTGGTGGAAGGTCATGAGAGTGTTGTGGAAGTAAAGGGAGTTGGGTATAAGGTATCCTTAAAAGAAGGAAAATTAGAGTTTTCGTTGGGAAAATCTCATCTTAACCATGTTGCTATTCCTAGCGAATTAGAAGTAAAAGTAGAAGGTAATAAAATAATAATTAGGGGAAAGGATAAGCAGAAAGTTACCAGTTTTGCAGCCGCTATTCGAAGCCTTCGCCTGCCCAGCATTTATAAGAAGGACAAAGGCATTTACTATTTAGGCGAAGCAGAAACTATTAAACTGAAAGCTGGAAAATCTTTAAATAAATAATATATATGACGACGACATCTATCGATAAAAAAATTCGCCGGAAGGTCCGTAAAAGAAGAAGTGCTTTGATTAAGGGTTCCTCAGAAAGACCACGAGTGGTTTTGAGTGAATCAAATCGTTATTTACGCGTGCAAGCCATCGATGACACAGTAGGTAATACTCTTACCTCGGCTTCCACAAAAGATTTTAGTGAGGATAATTACTCTCGTAAGAATAAAGATTATGCTAAGAAGCTTGGTGAATTGTTTGCTGAGAAATTGAAGAAAGAGAATAAAGAAAAAATCATTTTTGACCGCAATGGTCGCCCTTATCATGGAAAAATGGAGGTCTTTTGCCAGGAAATGCGAAAACTAGGAATTAATTTTTAATGGAGAAGGTAGGAGAAAATTATCAGGTTCTGGGAAACGATAAAAGTATTTCTCAGGAAGAAAAAAAAAGTAGTGAAGTAAATGGCAAAGAAAAGGTAGAAGAAAAAAATAATCTGGTTTCGAGTGAACCAAAAAAAGAAGAAAGGGAAGATAGAAGGGCATTCCGCTCTCATATAAAAAGTGAAACCTTGGCCAACAAACGGGTAGTAAAAGTGACAAAAGGCGGTCGAAGGTTTAGTTTTACTTGTCTGGTTTTGATAAAAGATGAAGAAAAAAAAGCGGTTGCTTTCGCACACGCCGGTGGTAAGGAAGTTATTATTGCTTTTCGCAAGGCTTTGCGGCAAGGACAGAAAAAATTAATATCTTATTTTCCCACTCCTGTCCGCACCATTCCTCGTGATATAACGGTAAAATATAAGGCCACTAAACTCTTCCTCAAGCCTACTCCACCGGGCAGTGGTATCAAGGCGAGCGGAGCCCTTAGTCGATTATTCAAGTTCCTGGAAATTAAAGATGTAAGTGCCAAAATAATTGGTTCCCGACAAAATAAACTCAATGTTATTCGTGCGGCCTTTCTGGCTCTGGATAAATTAACTGGAAAAAAATATGAATACTAATAATTATTTAACTGCTATTGTAAAGAAGAAAAAGATTGTTGGTCGTGGCATTGGTTCCGGTCGGGGAAAGACAAGTGGACGCGGTCAAAAAGGACAAGGGTCGCGTAAAAGTGGTAATGTTCGCCCTGGTTTTGAAGGGGGACAAACTCCGGTTTATCGGGCTTTTCCCAAGCGAGGAGGAGGATTTAAGGCCAAAAAAATTTCTTATCAGGTAGTTAATTTAGAAGAATTAGAAAAAGATGAAAAGATAACAGCCGGACAAGTAGTAGATTTATCGCAAAAAAAGTTTCCAGTTAAGATATTAGGAGAAGGAAATTTTACCAAAAACTTGACTATTAAAGCCGCCGCTTTTTCTCGGCCGGCTCAGGAAAAAATTACCCAGGTAGGTGGTAATTTTCAAGTGGTAGAGAAAAAGAAAAAGTAATATGGCAAGTGGCATCAAAAAAAAAAGAGTTAGTCGTCAGTACCAGGCTTTCTTTTTGGCTTGCTTGGCTAGTTTGCTTGGTTTGCTGGTCTACATTTTAGGAGCCAAAAAAATATCTTTTCCTCATCAGTGAATGGAAGGGATTGAAGGCGCTAAGGAAGAAGTAAAAGCAACCAAACTATTTTTTTCCGGTATTAGTGTCCATTTAGGAGTCAATTTTGTTTTACAATTCTTTTATATTTTTTTAAATCCCGACAAAATGGACCGGGTTAAATTTCAAAAATGAAAACTTTGAATTAGCCGGACTCTGATTTTTCTCGGTTCTCTATTCATGGGTTTCATGACTTACTGAGATAATGTCAAAGGTAGTGTGGGTAATATTCTGCTCTTGGGTTTAATTGTTACTGTAATTAATTGTTGTTTGTTAGAATTGCTTATTCAGTTAATGAACCAATATGGGATATGTAATGCTTTCAACCTAATACTTTTTACGGTGTTTATTCCTTACGATTGAATTGCCAAAAACTGGAATAATCTTGGACCAATGTTTTGTCTGCTGTTGATTACGGTGTCCTTTATCTGAATAACTAATTTAAAATGAGAAGCGCCAGTCGAGACTAATACTCTTTATAGCCAAAATAGCAAAATACTAAAAAAAAATAAGTCAAAATTAGGATTTCGGTTGAGTCTGGGTTTTATGCCTTTAATTCAGTTGTCCCAGTTGATTGGCTTGATTTACAATGCTGTCCTAATGCGTAGAGCGGGAGTGAATTGGTTCGATTTTAGTAGTATAAGAGAAAAATGAAAGGGAGCAAACGAAAAAAGAGGAATGGATACAAACAATTTTCAGGAAAGTTTGAAGAGTGAGGATGCGGCCGGAAGGTCTTTTTGAGGACCTTTTTTTTTGCTTAATGATGCCAGATATATTTTCGACTTCGACAATTTAAAAGATTGGTTTTTGAACAAAAAGTGGTGAATTATTGGTGCTCTTCTCTTCCTCCTTTTTCTTCGCTGGTTAGCAGTGTGAATACAAATGCGGAAGGTCACTCCTTGAAAAACTGGTGAAATGAGTAAAGACTTACGCAGTAGAGGTATTTATATAAACCATTTGGCTCCCGGTCGTTCGACCCGTAATTTATTACGAAAAGTAATTAATAAGATAATATTTTCTTGATATTTCATCATTCTAGTTTTCAATATCATTTTTGATAATATATTTAAAGGCTCTTCCCCCTTTTTATCTTTTTTTAATTGATTTGGAAGCGTTAATATCGGAGTTGACCTGGTTCGCCAAGTAAGAACAAAGTATAAATATATAAAAACTAATAGATAGAAGTAAACATTTTATATGGAAGCAAAAAATAATTCACAAAAAGTCATTTTGTTGTTGTTCCCCCTCATTATTAATAAATTTAATTTTCCGACAGGGGAAAAAGGAAATTTTTTTGAGATAGGAAAGGTAAGAAAAAAAGAACTTGAGGAAAAAAATATCACTTCCTTGGATGAGGAAAAAATACTTAAATTAATTGATGCTAATTACATCCAGGAAATTAAAGAATTTATTCAACATAATCCCAATTCTAAATTAGTATTAGTTAATTATCCCCATAATGAGCAGCAATTTACTGCTTTGAATTCTGAGTTAGCCCTGGAAGGAAAAAGAATAAATAATATCATTCTTCTCAATATTTCTAACTATGAACTAATTTTGAGTCTAAAAAAAGAGTATTTAATTTGTCCTCTTTGTGAAAAAATATATAAAAAAGACGAGACCATAAAAGAAAATGAGAAGTTCATTTGTCCGCAAGATAGTGAATACCACTTTTCTCTTTCTGATATAAAAAAATATAGTGAATATGTTATTGAATACCATTTAAAAAATACTGAGTTAGTAATTAAAAAGTTTCTTTCTGAAAATAAACTTGCCACTTCTTCTATCATTCAATTAACGGTCCAAAAAAAAAGAGGAAATTTTTACTGGTGAAATCCAAAGAAACTTATTAAAAATAGTTGAGGATTTGTAAAAAACTTTCACCTTAGGAGTCTTTTTTATATATAAAATAAATTAAGATGACAAAGATATAAGTTCTTGAAAGATAAAAAAAATTTAATAACATAGTCAAAGTATATGGAGACGAATAGCAGATGTCTAATTAGAATAACAACCAACTAATATCGCTGCCTAATTAGATATAAATTGGCTTAATTGCCATTGTGGTGGTGAAAAGATAATAAAAATTAAAGAACTTAAAATAATAATGTTAGGAAAAAGAGAATTTAAAATTGTAAAAAAAGAATACGTCGAAAGTAGAGATTGTATTATGATTGTATTAGATGGTACGTTGATTTATAAAAATGGGACTGGGATATTTATTAATGTACCTAATTCTCGTCCTTTCAATACCTATCAAGTAGGAGACTGTTTAGAAATTAATTTAGATAGAACCAAGTATGAAGAAAATAAGTATGATATTTGTAGTGACACTAGTATAGTAAGGAAAATTACGCCTACAAATGTAATTACTGCTTCTGGTTCCTCTTCTGACATAATCATTTCGTCCAGTGCTGTGAATGCTATGAAAAGTCCAGAGGTAAGGGAAATAGCCCGAGAGTTGTCTAGAATGGTAGATGAAACTGGAAACAATTGGGAATATAAAATAGAGATAGAGAATAAAGGCGGGAAAAAAATCTCTCATTCTCTAATATGCAGAAAAAACTAATAAAGTTATTATGAACGCAAATTTAAATAAAAGAGAATTTCCTTGACCCGTTGGACACGAGCCCACTGAGAAAGAAGTCGAAAAATATTTTGAAGAAAAAGGTATTTACATTTCATTTCATTGAGAGGAAGAGTGAGGAATCAAAAAAAGAGGCGTTTTAACTCCAAGAAAAAAAACCGCAAGCGATTTAAAAACTGTTGGCAACGACCAACCAGTTAACTTCCAAATTGAAAATCAAGACAGAAAATTAATTGAAGTAAGCAAGGAGGAGTTTGCCAAGTGAGTGGAGGAAGGAAAAAATGTTAAAGTTCCGTCCAAAGAAAGTTTAGTTTATGGAGTTAAAGGAAATATTGATGGAACAGAAATTTATGTTGAAAGAAAAGGCCAAGATGGATTTTTTAAAGAAAGTTATTACGAACCTCGAAGCGAAGAAGATAAAAAACAAATTATCGAAAGAAATCAAAAAAGGCGAGAAGAAGCAGAGGAAAATAAAAAAGACTTGGGGCAGCAGGCTCAAAATCAAGAAAATTCCTCTAATTCCGACAAAAAAGACACCGAACAACAACAAAATCAATCACAAAAGACAGGGAATAAAGATGACAACGCCAAGAATATTTATTATGGAGTGGGTGCGATTTCTCTGGTTCTTTTATTGATAAGCATGATGGTAGTTTGAGTAAAGAAAAAGAAATAGTTGATATAAAAAATTAGGAGGGAGTTATAGTTGTTCCCCCTAATATCTATTCTAAATTGGCATAAGAAAATTTTTTACGGATTAGATATTGGGTTAAAAAGTGAATAAACTTGAATGTATAAAAAAAGCCGGGCAAGCCGTCAGTAATATTTTAAAAAGACTAAAAAAAGAAATCAAGCCTGGTGTTTCAGGAAAGGATTTAGATAAGTTGGCTCGGCAATTAATGAAAGAACAAAAAGTTCAGTCATCAACTCTTGATTACAAGGGGTTTTCGGCCGCCATTTGCGTTTCTCTTAATGAAGAATTAACACATGGTATCCCTGACGAGCGGATTTTCAAGGAAGGTGATTTAGTTTCGATTGATGTAGCTTGTAATTACCAAGGTTATCACGCTGACGCTGCTCTGACTGCTATTGTCGGAGCAGGAGATGAAGTAAAAAGAAGTCTACTAAATATAACTAAAAATAGTTTATACTTTGCTATTCAAAATATTCAACCCGGCGTTACTACTACTCAGGATATTGGTGCCATGTTAGAAAAATACATACGAACTCGTGGTTATTATCCTATTAAAGAATATGGCGGACATGGGATTGGGGAAAATCTTCACCAAGAGCCCTTTATTCCTAATTATAAAATTTCTAATAAAGGGGAAGTGATTAAAGAAGGAATGTTTATTTGTATTGAACCATTAGTTCAGATTGGTGATGGTGAGGTGGATATTTCCCCTAATAAATGGACCGTATTTTCTAAAAATGGCTATTTGAACGCTCATTTTGAACATACAATATATATTAATAAAAAAGGCGCTGAAATAATAACTAATTATGAAGAATAAAGATTTTTTTTCCACTCAGGGTGAAGTAATTGAATGAATAAATAAAAAAAAATTTCGAGTTAAATGCGATAATGGTAAAATAATCGATGCTGACGTGCCGGCTCGTTTTCGCACGAAAGGAGGGCGAAGGAGGGCTAACATTGTTGTCGGAGATAGGGTAAGGGTAGAGATAACTTTAGGAGACTTAGGAAAAGGACAAATTGTTTCTCTAGTTGAGGAAAATATTTAAAATAGATATTATTATGAAAGTTCGTAGTTCGATTAAAATAATGTGCCGCGATTGTCAAGTAATTATCAGGGAGGGGGTTAGATACATTTATTGTCAAAAGGATCGAAAACATAATCAAAGACAAGGTTAATAGGTAAAAAATAATAAATATATATGGTTCGTATTGGTAATAAGGAGATGCCTGAAAATAAAAATATTCGGGTGGCTCTGAGTTATATTTATGGTTTTGGCAAAAGTTTTGGTCCAACTTCTCCTTCACGGCAAATTCTCGAAGAATTAAGTATTAATCCTCTTGCTAAGGTTCGTGATTTGACTTCGGAACAAATTAATCTAATTAGTCAGAGGGTAAAAAAAATCCCGACCGAGGGGGAATTAAAAGAAAAAGTTCAAAAAAATATTAGTGCGCAAATTCGTCTTGGTACTTATCAAGGGTTAAGGCGTTCCCGCAAACCTAATCCTTTACCAATTCACGGACAGAGGACACGGCACAATGCTCGTACGGCCAAAGGTCATAAAAGAATAACAGTGGCTAATAAGAAAAAGGCTCCTACTCCAAAATAATCTCATGAAGGATTTTTGCAAAAATGCCTTTAATTATGACAATACAATTCTCTAATACCACAATTTTTATCCCTGATTGAGTTCTCCTTGCTTTCGCTTTAATAATTCCTGGGTGGTTTTTTTCTCGGTTGGGTCAGAGAAAAGGCATTTTAAAATTCTTAATGTTGTGGTGTTTTTTTAATTTCATGTGGCTTTTAGTTTATATGCTTTTCAGTCGTGACCCCTTCGCTAGTTTTGCCATATTTCATGTTTTAGTGTTTGGTTTGCTTTCTTTGATTTTTTATCGATGGTGAGAATTGGGCAGTGGTGAAAAAAAAAAAAAAAAAAAAGTAGTATCAGAAGTATTGAGTAATTAAAATTTATTAATATATAGAATGACGGCAGTAAAAAAAAGTTCCAAAAAAGAGACCAAAACCAAAAAAATCAAAAAAGTTCCTGAAGGAAGAGGAATTATTCACGGCAAATTTAGTTTTAATAACACCATTCTTGATTTAAGTAAAGAAAATGGTGATGTTTTAACTCAAGTTAGTTCCGGAAGTGTCGACCTCGGTAATAACAAAAAAGTTACTGGCACTAAAAAAGCTACTGCCTTCATGGCCGAAAAAGTTGCCGAAGAAATAATTAGAAGAGCAGCCGAATTTGGGGTTTATAATGTCGAAATACAAGTCAAGGGAATTGGTGCCGGTCGAGATTCAGTAATAAAAAAAATATTGGAAGAAAAATCTTTGAATGTGGAGGGATTAACTGACCGAACTCCGAATCGTCATGGTGGTTGTCGTCCCCGAAGAGCACCACGAAAATAAATATATATGTCATTACTTAATAATTTAGAAATAGAAGAAATAGTTGTCAAAAGCAAACCTCATACTTCTTCTTTTGTTTTTCACCACCTGCCTTCGGGTATGGGAATAGTTCTTGGTAATTATTTGCGACATTTTCTTCTGAAATACAATGGTGGAATAGCGGCTTTGGGAGCAAAAATTAGTGATAGAGACGGTCCAGTGGAAAGTGAATTTAGTACCCTGGCAGGAGTGAAAGAAGTAACCAGTTATCTCATTATTAATCTCAAAAAGATTATTGTGGAAGAAAAGAAAAAAAAAGAAGGAATTTTTTGCTTAGAATTGAGTGTTGAGAATAAAGAAAAAAAAGAAAAAGTAATTACGGCAGGAGATTTTCAAAAAGATAAAGATATAGAAATTAAAAATCCCGATCTTTATTTGGCTACTTTGGCTGCCTCTACTGGTGAGAAAGAAAATCCAAGGCTAGAAATAAAACTTTATTTTCAGAAAAGTTGAGGTTATCACGAAGAGGAGGAACAAGAAAAAAAATATTTTTCTGAGGAAGATAATGTTATTGCTTTTGATACTGATTATTCCCCAATTAAAGGTGGATTGGTAAATTTCAAAGTAAATTCACAAGTGATTAGTCAAGAAAAAACGGAAGAAGAATTAACTCTCACTATTACCACTAATGGCGCTGTTACACCAAAAAAGGCTATCCAAGAAACTCTAGAGTTATCAAAGAGTTCTTTTAATACCATCACTGAACTAATTAATAGTGAAAAAAAACAAAAATTGACTGCTGAAATTAAATAATTATTATGTCCTATATTAATAAACCTGGTAAAACCACTGCTTGACGCACTCATGTCCTTAATAATTTGGTGGCTGATACTATTTTGTATGAAAAAGTGGAGACTAGTTTGCCAATGGCACGGAGTCTGACTAAGTTATTAGCCAAACTCATTAAATATGCTAAACAAGACACTTTACATTCGCGGCGCTTGGCCTTGCAATATTTAGTCAACAAAAAAAAATTGGAGGACAAAGAAGGGAAAAAGTTGCTCGACAAACTATTTTCTGACTTAAAAGAAAGATATAAGGATAGAGCAGGCGGTTATAGCCGGATTACTAAATTAAATTATCGGGTTGGTGATAATAGTTTACGAGTAGTTTTTGCTTTGGTTTAGAGAAAATAAATAATCTCTGACTATTTTGTTCTTAAATTCTAGGCCTAGTTAGCTCAGTGGCAGAGCATCCGGCTGTTAACCGGCAGGTCGGAGGTTCGAATCCTCCACTAGGCGCCATTTTTAATTTATGCCAGAGTTTAAAGTTAAATGCTGATATTTTGGAGAAAGGGAAAACAAGTTTTTTAAGGACAAAAAAGAACAAGTATATCACAAGTTTAGCGTATCTAATGCCAGCGACTTACCCGACAAATTTTTTCGTTCTTTATGAAGAGATGAATGTAACAGCAGGAGTTGTTATTTGTGGATATCAAAGGAATTGATTAAAAAGATAGATATTAATTGGGAAATTGATAAAACTTATTGTTTTCTTATGAGGCTAGGAGAATACAAAACTGCTGGTTTCAACATTAAAAACAATCTTCTTAACAGTGAGAAAGTAAATAACATGGTTCTAAAAGACAAAAATTATTGAGAAAATACAGTTAAGAAAATTGGATTTTGAGGCAGTAAAAATTATTTTTATGAGTCAAACCAAAAGCCAGAAAGACCAGTTAAAAAGCCAAAGCCAAATAATAATCCAACCAAAGCGGAAAATAAAACTGATTGAGGAAAAATTGTTCTTGTCTTCTTACCTATTGTAATTGTTGCTTTCTTTTTCTTTCTAGTTATCAAGTTAGCAAGCAAAAAGAAAAAACAATAAAAATATATTAATAATATCAATGACGGTGAAAAAAAATTATCAACTTCACGAAAAAGATACTGGTTCAACTGCTCTCCAGTTAATCGCTTTAAGAGAAGAGATTAATAAAGAAAAATTTCATTTGGAAAGGAATAAAAAAGATATCCCAGCCAAACGAGCCTTGTTAAAAAAAATAGCCAAAGAGAAAAGGTTTTTTCAATACCTTAAAAAGCATAATCCCGATGCTTACGAGAAGTTAAAAAAAGAGTTAAAATAATATTATAATATAAAGCAGTTGTACGGGTTACTTGTTCTCCCTAAGAAAACAATTTTTTGGAAATATCTTTGAAAACTAGACGGAACCAATTTACCTGTGAGTGAATTCTTACAGTTTATTCTTTTTAAGAGTTTGATCCTAGCTCAGGATTAACGTTGGTAGTATGCCTAACACATGCAAGTCGAGCGGGAAATAGTAGCAATATTATTTCTAGCGGCGAACGGGTGAGTAATGCTTATCTTACTTGCCAATTAGTGGGGGATAACCATGGGAAACCATGGCTAATACCGCATTTGTTACTTTTGTAATGAAAGGGGATCGCAAGATTCTCGCTAATTGAGAGGGATAAGTCGTATTAGTTAGTTGGTGGGGTAATGGCCTACCAAGACTATGATGCGTAGCCAGTCTGAGAGGATGAATGGCCACAAGGGAACTGAGACACGGTCCCTACTCCTACGGGAGGCAGCAGTGAGGAATTTTCCACAATGGGGGCAACCCTGATGGAGCAATACTACGTGAAGGAGGAAGGTCTACGGATTGTAAACTTCTGTTAGTGCGGAAGAAGGGCTGAACGCAAGTTCAGTTTTGACGGTACGCACAGAGAAAGCCACGACTAACTACGTGCCAGCAGTCGCGGTAAGACGTAGGTGGCGAACGTTATCCGGAATTATTGGGCGTAAAGGGTGCGTAGATGGCCTGATAAGTTAGCAGTGGGAAATCGAGGCTCAACCTCGTGGAAGCTGGTAATACTGTCAGGCTCGAGTGCAGGAGAGGTTAACGGAACTCCATGTGGAGCGGTAAAATGTGTAGATATATGGAAGAACATCAATAACGGCGAAGGCAGTTAACTATTCTGTTACTGACGTTGAGGCACGAAAGCGTGGGGAGCAAAACGGATTAGATACCCGTGTAGTCCACGCCCTAAACGATGAGTGCTAGATATTGGGAACTTGATTCTCAGTGTCGCTAGATAACTCGGTAAGCACTCCGCCTGGGTAGTACGCTCGCAAGAGTGAAACTCAAAGGAATTGACGGGGACTCGCACAAGCACTGGAGCATGTGGTTTAATCCGATACGACGCGTAGAACCTTACCAAGGCTTGACATGTTCGGCAAAACTTGGGAAACCAAGTGGAGGTTACCCGAACACAGGTGCTGCATGGCCGTCGTCAGTTCGTGCCGTGAGGTGTATGGTTAAGTCCTATAACGAACGCAACCCTTGGACTTAGTTGCCAGCATTCAGTTGGGGACTCTAAGTCGACTGCCTGAGTAATCAGGAGGAAGGAAAGGATGACGTCTGGTCGTCATGGCCCTTATGCCTTGGGCGACACACGTGCTACAATGGTTAACACAAAGGGATGCCAACCCGCGAGGGGGAGCCAAGCCCAAAAAATTAACCTCAGTTCGGATTGGAGGCTGCAACTCGCCTCCATGAAGTTGGAATTGCTAGTAATCGCAAATCAGCCATGTTGCGGTGAATACGTTCTCGAGTCTTGTACACACCGCCCGTCAAATCACGAAAGTCGGTAATGCCTGAAACCAGTTTGTTAACCCGTAAGGGATGCGGCTGACAAGGGTAGGATTGGCAATTGGGGTTAAGTCGTAACAAGGTATCCGTAGGGGAATCTGCGGATGGAAAATAAATTTTATAAAAAGGTTCTGTCTAGTTTTGAAAGTTAATTCTATACAAATTAGAAGTGTAATTTTACTATTCTTATATAAAATATAATTGATGATAAAGTATCAGTAAAAAGTTAAAGGAAAGGCCAAAAATGATTAGTTTCCTAATCCCAATTACTCCTAATTGTTTTTGGTCGAAAAAGTGAATGGGAAAATGGTTGTTATTGTTGATAATTTGTGTGAGGTTAGTTGACAAAACCTTAAAATAATATTAAGTAGTGTAGAAAGGGGGTGAGAGTGGCGATAGGTGAAAGATGATTATCAAATTATAAATATAAAATCGTCTCTCTCTCTCTCTCTCTCTCTCTCTCTCTCTCTCTCTCTCTGCTTATAAGTAAAGTAACATAAACAAAATAAAAATACAATACAAATATGAACAGATTTAACAGTATATTTAATAAAAATGAAGTAGAAAATAAACTAAGAGATTTTAAAGAGGGTGAAGATTATTCTGTTTCGCCGACTGATGAACCGAATATAAAAACCTACAATTTTCATAACGATAAATTAAGAAGTGTGTTTCGAGGTGACCGAGTTCCAGTGCGAATAACCCAAGAAGCCTACGACGGAAAAGATTATACATATAGAGGTCATTTTGAGGAAGGAAAGGATTATCATTATAGTCGTCAAGATTGGCATTTTGGTGAGGATTACCAAGGAAATAGAGGAACAGATATTTTTGGAGATGGCGAGTGAAAGAACTTTATGGATGGAATAAAGTGAAATGAGCATTACCGAGAAAGTACTCCTAATAAATGAACGGTTGGCTGAGTATACCGTGGAAAAGGTAATTTAAACAAAAATCCTGAGCCGAAAAAAATAGAGCCTAATTTTGGTGAGTTTTTTGATAGTACTCCTGAACAAAGAATAAAAGATTTGAAAGAAAAAATTGGTGAATGAAAGGAAAAATTGAATTATTTGGAAAGTCAACAACCAAGAGACGAAAAAATGATTGAAGGATTTAGAAAGGATATTAAAGATGCGGAGAATACTATCAGAACTTTAAAAGGTCAGAAAAATGGTAATGTTACCGGACGACCAGACTGGGTTCGTTGTCAGTGTGGACAAATGTTTGATAAAGCAGGTGAGCATTATGCAGTGAGAGAAGTAAGTGGAATAGGACATTTTTGTAGTCATGATTGTGGGGAAAAATACAAAACTACTAATGAAACGGTTTGGAAAGTTCCGCAATATGCAGAAAAAGTATATGGAACTTTCTCCAATAGCAACTCCGACTTGAGAAAAGAAAACCAAGAATTACGCGAAGAGTTGTCAGAAGTTAAAAATCAATTAGCCCAAGTATTAGACGAATTGAAAAAGTTAAAGCGTAATATAAATGGTAAAGGTAGTGAAAAGTTGGAACAGCAAATAGTTCAAAATGAGAAGTTAATTAAAGATAGTGAAAATATTTCGGTGGCTGAGGTACAAGAGCAAGTTAATAAATCGCAAGCGTTAATGAATGAGTTTAATACTGCTGTTTCCTCAGCCAAAGATAATAAAGGTAATGGTTCACTTCCTTATGTAATTGGTGGTTCGGTAATTTTGGTTTCAGCCGGAATTATTGGCTATTTACTGGTGAAAAAGAATAAGAGAAAATAAAGTTGCTTAAAGATTATAAAAAATTAAAAGAAAAAAATGATAAAGGTGGGAGGGGTTGGTTCCCCCCTCCCCAATTTTTTAAAGGTCAATAAAAATACAATTTTTTTATACTTCCTGTATTTTAATGACAGAATTAATTAGAAAAAAAACCAATATTAAGCGCAGTGAAGTATACGAGGATTGCGACGAGTATATTTATGTAGATAAATATCTTAAACTTGACTGCGAAGATTTCTATTGTAGAGAAATGTATGAAAATTTATTGGGAGAAGGTGATGGTGAATGTGAATTGCATTTTGGTTATGACCCAAAATTTAGAGAATATTTTATTGATATTAAAGCGGAATATGGAGGTGCTGTTCATTTAGTGTTTTATTGTCCTTGATGCGGACAAAAATTACCTAGTAGTTTAAGAAAAAAATTTTTCAATATTTTAGAAAAAGAATGTGGTGTAGATTATGGAGATTTAGAAACAAGATCCAAAATTCCTAAAGAGTTTAAAGGTGATGAATGGTGAAAGAAAAGAGGTATTTAAAGAGTCATATTGTTTAACAGAGAGCAAAAAATGGATTTATGAAAGAGGACTGGTGCCTTGTCCTCAGAGAAAAGTGCTATAAAATTATATATATAGTTAAATAGAATATTAGAATATTCCTCTAACATAAATGTGCCTATGGTCAGAACGGCAAAGATATATCTAACTAGCATAACTATCTAAATCAATCATTCCTAGTTAGATATAATTTGCTTAAAAGCCTTAGTAGTGATTGCAAGCAACAATAACAAAACATATGCCAAAAATAGTAAATCAAGAGTTAGAAAAATTAATTAATTTCCTAGAAAAATATGTAAAAATAATGGAAGATGAAGTTAACAAATCAGAGAAAAGTGGTGAGAAACAAAAATTAGAGACGAAAATTGAGAAGGCGCAATTGTATTTGGATAAAGTCAAAATTCCCCAAAATCGCAATTTTATTGAGTTAGACCAACCAAAAAAGTATTGAGGTTCTACAGAAGATTGAAAAGAACCAGTATGTGAAAGATATAGTTTTAAGCATGAAAATAGGCCCATTACTTTAGACGTTATCCAAGAGTTAAACAAAAAGTTGGAACTAACGCCCGAAGATAATTTTTATGTGGCCGAGGAAGTATTAGCCAGAAAGGATGAGGAGGGAGTGATTACTATTGAGAACGAGTCCGAAATATTCCTCCAAAGACATTTAATTAAAACTGAAAGTAATACAGGGAAAATTGCGGGAACTGCCAGTGGGGCTGGAATAGGAGCTGCCGGTGGAGCAGCCGCTGGGGCTGGCTTAATGGTTGCTCTTGCTCCTTATACATTTGGTTTGTCATTATCACTTGTCCCAACCGCCGCCATAACTGGAGCCGTTGTTGGAAGTTTAAGTGGAGGGGCCACTGGTTTGGTAAGTGGGGTCGTTGCTGATAAAATATTAAATTCAGAAACAGTCAAAATAAAAAGTGAAGTCAAAGGTTGCTTGGAGGATTACAAAATTATAATGGAAGAAAAGTCTTGTAGTTGTCAAGCCATAATTGATAATGAGGCGTCCACGTCAGGGGAAAAAGAAAAATCCCAGGCACAAAAAGAAAGTTATGATAATGAAGTTAGAGAAATAGAGGCTTATATAGAGAATAACTTAAAATAAGAGTTTTCCTGTTTTCTGGTCGAACAAAGTTGGGAGGGTGGTACCCCCGTCCTTTCCCAATTTTCCTAAAAATAATAATATATATGAGTTAAAAAGTTAAGTTAATTTCCAGACTTGATAAATAAAACAAATAAATTATAATATACTTTTGAAAAATAAGTGGTTGTTTTATCTGCTTAATTTTGAGAGGTATATTTTTTTCTACTCTCTCTTTCTTTGAAAACTGAACGCAAAAAAAAAGATTTTACCGAAATATAAGTTACTAAGAGTGTATGGTGAATAACTTGGGACTAATAGACGAGGAAGGACGTGATATCCTGCGATAAGTTTCGGGGAGCCGGAAAATAGGCTACGATCCGGAAATTTCCGAATGGGGCAACCCATTACCAGTAATGTGGTAAGGTCTAAGTATCATGATACTTAGAAGTGAACCCGGAGAACTGAAACATCTTAGTACCCGGAGGAAAAGAAAATAAATAATGATTCCCGTAGTAGTGGCGAGCGAACTGGGAACAGCCTAAACCAATTATGTTTGTAAGTTGGGGTTGTAGGAAAATACATTAGGAGTTACAAAGGTTAGTGATAGAAGAAGTGGTTGGAAAGCCACGCCAAAGACAGTGAAAGCCTGGTATTCGAAATCAATAACTCTCCGTATTTCATCCTGAGTACCACGAGACACGTGAAATCTTGTGGGAAGCAACGGGGACCACCCCGTAAGGCTAAATACTCATTAGTCACCGATAGTGAACTAGTACCGTGAGGGAAAGTTGAAAAGAACCCCGGAAGGGGAGTGAAATAGAACTTGAAACCATAACACTTACAAGAAGTCAAAGGGCATTAAAGCCTAATGGCGTGCTTTTTGCAGAATGAGCCGGCGAGTTATAATTATTGGCAAGGTTAAGTTTCTCTGAAATGGAGCCGTAGCGAAAGCGAGTTTTAATAGAGCGTATAGTCAGTGATTATAGACCCGAAACTAGGTGAGCTAACCATGAGCAGGCTGAAGTGAGGATAAAACTTCATGGAGGGCCGAACCGTTGTTCGTTGAAATGACCTCGGATGACTTGTGGTTAGAGCTGAAATTGCAATCGAACCTAGAGATAGCTGGTTCTCCCCGAAATAGTTGTAGGACTAGCGCCAGAGTAAAGATAATGGGGGTAGAGCACTGAATAGAGAAGGGCCTTTAACCGGGTACCACCTCTAATTAAACTCCGAATACCGTTATTGTATTATCTGGTAGTCAGTCTATGGGGGATAAGCTCCATGGACGCGAGGGAAACAGCCCAGATTATCGGCTAAGGTCCCTAAATAGTATTAAGTGTAGAAGGAAGTTGTGAGACAAAAACAGCTAGGAGGTTGGCTTAGAAGCAGCCACCCTTTAAAGAGTGCGTAACAGCTCACTAGTCTAGTCTCTCAGCGCCGAGAATGTAAGGGGGCTCAAATACTATACCGAAGCCATAGGCTAGTTGGTAATAAAAGAATTATTTTTTACAATATTTTTCTGTTGCCAACTAGCGGTAGGGGAGCGTAGTAAAAGCGTTGAAGTTAAACCGTAAGGATTAGTGGAGTTTTTACTAGTGAGAATGCCGGCGTGAGTAACGATTGAAGGTGAGAATCCTTCTGGCCGTATAACCAAGGTTTCCAGGGTGAAGGTCGTCTACCCTGGGTTAGTCGGGACCTAAGGCGAGGCCGAAAGGCGTAGTCGATGGACAACAGGTTAATATTCCTGTACTGTCATAATTACTGATGGAGTGACGAAGTCAGCTAAGATAAACCAGTTATTGATTCTGGTCTAAGTATAAAGAGGGTATGGTTGGCAAATCCGCCATATAGTAACCTTGAAATATGATGGGTAGGGGCAACCCGAATTATCTGAATGCTTTGCTTCCTAGAAAAGCTTCTAAAGATATGGTTATGATACTCGTACCAAGAACGAACACACGTGGTTGGGGAGAAAATCCTCAGGCCAGCGAGCAAACTATAGTTAAGGAACTCGGCAAATTAGCCCCGTAAGTTCGCGAGAAGGGGTGCCTAGGGCAACCTAGGCCGCAGTGAAGAGGCACCGGCAACTGTTTATCAAAAACACAGCTCTCTGCTAAGGCGTAAGCCGATGTATAGGGGGCGACGTCTGCCCAGTGCTCCAAGGTTAAGAGGGGGGGTTAGCCAGTAGTAAGATACTGGTGAAGCTCTGAATCGAAGCCCGAGTGAACGGCGGCGGTAACTATAACCGTCCAAAGGTAGCGAAACTCCTTGTCAGGTAAGTTCTGACCCGCATGAAAGACGTAATGACTGGTGTACTGTCTCAACTATAGGCTCGGTGAAATCTTAGTACCGGTGAAGATGCCGGTTACCCGCAACTAGACGGAAAGACCCCGTGGAGCTTTACTGCAACTTGATATTGGCTTTTTCTCTTGTTTGTACAGGATAGGTGGGAGACTGTGAGGCTAGGACGCCAGTTCTAGCGGAGTCGTTGGTGGGATACCACTCTAACAGGCGGAAAATTCTAACTTATTGGTTTACAGCCAAAAGGACAGTGTTTGGTGGGTAGTTTGACTGGGGCGGTCGCCTCCTAAAAAGTAACGGAGGTGTTCATAAGGTATCCTCAGCAGGTATAGAAACCCTGTGTAGAGCGTAAAGGTAGAAGGATGCTTAACTGTGAGACTTACAAGTCGAACAGATACGAAAGTAGGACTTAATGATCCGGCGGTTACCTAGTGGTAGGGCCGTCGCTAAACGGACAAAAGTTACCCCGGGGATAACAGGCTAATACTTCCCAAGAGACCACATCGACGGAAGTGTTTGGCACCTCGATGTCGACTCATCGCATCCTGGAGGGGCAGAACCTTCCAAGGGTTGGGCTGTTCGCCCATTAAAGCGGTACGTGAGTTGGGTTTAGAACGTCGTGAGACAGTTTGGTCCCTATCTGTTGTGGGCGTAGGAAATTTGCGGAGAACTGCTCTTAGTACGAGAGGACCAGAGTGGACTGACCAATGGTGTACCAGTTGTCTTATCAAAGGCACGGCTGGCCAGCTATGTCAGGCATAGATAAGCACTGAAAGCATATAAGTGCGAAGCTAACTTCAAGATAAGATTTCCCATCCCGTAAGGGAGTAAGATACCTTCTAGACCAGGAGGTTGATAGGTGGCAAGTGTAAGTATAGTAATGTATTGAGCTAAGCCATACTAATTTATCGAGGACTTATTTTTGGTATTTTCAATTTTGCGTTCGGTTTTGAGAGAATATATTGTACTGGTGATTATAACCAAGTGGTAATACCTGTTCCCATTCCGAATACAGAAGTCAAGCACTTGCGTGGCGAAAATACTCTTAACGGGGAAGATAGCTCATTGCCAGTACTAATAAATCTCTCACTATTATTTTTAATTGGCAAAAAGCAAAATTATTTTTTTGAATGGCTGTGCTTCAGCAGGCAAATCTACTCTGGCAAAAGCGATTCAAGAATTAAGCGAAGAAAAGTTTTTGTACGTAGGAATTGACACTCTTTTTGGTGCTCTGCCAAGAAAAATTGTTGGTTCCGACCAAAAAGCCGAAGCAGGATTTCGCTATGTGATTGACCCTAAAACAGAAAATTTAATTGAAATGAAAGTCAGTCCTTATGCCGGTTTAGTATTTTCTTGCTTGCCAAAAGTAGTAAAATTACTAGCCGATAATGGCTTAAACATAATTTTTGATGAGTGTAATTTTGTTAAGGAAAATGAGACTGAATTCTTAATTAATGATTATAAAACTCTTTTCTCCAAACACAGACTTTTAATGGTGGGTGTAAGGTGTAATTTAACAATCCTGGAGCAAAGAGAAAAATCAAGGGGAGATAGAATTATAGGAATGGCAAAGATTTTTTACCAAAATGAGAAAAATTTCCACTTCCTTTATAATTTGATTGTTGATATCAGTCAGACAAGCCCCTTTGTCAACGCACAAAAAATTTTAGAATTCCTAAAAGAGAATGAGCTGCAGGCTTCTACTTAAAAATAATTAATGGGCCCATGTAGCTCAGTGGATTAGAGTAGACGCCTTCTAAGCGTTTGGTCGGGAGTTCGATTCTCTTCATGGGCGCCATTTAAAATATTAAATAATAATAGTGTAAAGAAAAAAAACAACAATTAACAACAATAAAGATTATGACTGAATTTCCCATTTTATTATTAGATAATTTTTTTTTGTTCCCCAAATGCGACAACCATCTTCCATTAGAGAGTAATATTTATTGAAAAAAGGTACTTCTGAAATCCTGAAAAGATTGTCAAGGTCATTTGCTGGTTATTCCTAACAAGGAGGAGCTGGGTGGTAATTCGGAGAAGTTTGTGCCTGTTGGGACCTTAGCCAGAATTAATTTGGATATCTCGGCAGAGGCCAACTTAGAGCCAATTATCAATTCTCTCAAAGAAATCCAATTGCGGGGTCTCGAAAGAATAAAAATAACCAATCTCGAAAAGCGAGAGGAAATATGATATGGAAAATGCCAAATTTTGCCTGAAAAAGAATTGGACGAAAGGGCATTAGACGAACTAACTGAGAAATTTGTTCGTCATCTCCCGGACATTCTAGAAAAGTCTAAATTGAGTTCGGTTGAGAAATTACCTTACATGACGATGATGCGGGGAAATGTTAGCAATCTTGTCGACTTTATCGCCCAAAATAGCCGAGAAATCGACCAGTTGACGAAATGAAAAATACTGTCTTCTTTGGATTTACAGGAACGACTGGAAATTTTAATCAACATACCCGATCGGCAAAAGATTGACAAGGAGGTTGAGGATAAAACAAAACAAGCAATTAAAGACCAACAAGAGGAATGATATTTGCGAGAGAAATTAAAGGCGATTGAAAGAAAATTGCGAAAGAAGGGAACTTATGGCAGCAATGAGATGCGGAAGCATTTGGAAAAATTAGAAAAAGGAAATTATCCTGACAATGTGAAAAAGGTAATTCAGGAAGAAATAGAACGCTACGAAATGATGCCGGGTAATTCCAGCGAAGCCAATATTATCAAGCAATACGTGGACTGGTTAGTGAATCTGCCATGGTACCAAAAAACCGAAGAAATTAGTGATTTAGAATTTGCTCGTCGGAAATTGAATGAGAAGCATTATGGGTTGTCAGAAATAAAAGAAAAAATCATTGAATATTTAGCTGCTCAGCAAAAAGCAAATAAATCCTTAGGACAAGTTATTTGCTTGGCAGGACCGCCGGGAGTAGGAAAAACTTCCCTGGCAGCTTCTATTGCCGAAGCAACTGGACGGAAATTTATTAGCATTTCAGTGGGTGGTGTTCGGGATGTAGCCGAAGTTCAAGGACACCGTCGCACTTATATTGGAGCAATGCCAGGACGAATTATCCAGGCTATGAAAAAAGCCCAAGTAATTAACCCTTGTTTTTTAATTGATGAAGTTGATAAGTTTTCTTCTGATTATCGTGGTGATCCGGCTTATGCCTTATTAGAGGCTCTTGACCCCAACCAAAACAAAAAGTTTATTGATAATTACTTAGGAGAAGAGGTTCCTTATAATCTCTCGGAAGTAATGTTTATTTGTACGGCTAATGACGAACGAGAAATACCATTACCTTTGCTAGATAGGATGGAAGTGATTCGACTTTCTTCCTACACGGAAATTGAAAAGTTTCATATTGTCAAGGAATACATAATTCCCGAAAGTTTAAAAAAGCATAATTTAAACGCCGGAGAAATAGTTTTTGAAGATCAGGCTATTCGGGACATAATAAAACATTACACACGCGAAGCGGGTGTGCGGGAATTGAACCGGAAAATCCAAACAATTGTTCGCAAATTTATAGTGCAACTTCTACAAAATCGAGTAGACAAAGCAGTTATTACTCCTGATAATTTAATGAAAGACTATTTAAAAAAGAAAGATTATGAGTTTACTTCCAAAATAAAAGTTGTGCGGCCAGG